AGAAAATTATTTTCTCTAAAGCTTCTTTGAAGAATTCTTGATTATAAATCACTAAACTCCATTCTCATGCCAGACATTTATAGCCTTCTAAAAGCAAAAATTTTCCTTTTTCTTCCCATTATGTGAATTTGAAGCTTTAAGATGAATGTTGTTCTGTACCTTTTTCATCAGGAAAATTGAAGCATTTTCTTTATGAAAAAGAGAATGTCTTAATTGCTCTGGCAGATACTGTCTGGTATGTCTTTTTTATCTGTATGTTCGTTTGAACATATAATTTTCAGTAACTACCAGGAACCCCTCCCTTCTGGTTTTATTAGAGCTCTTGTATTATGCTGAAAGAGTTTTCATCAAAATCTCTAAGGACCAGATCCCAAGCCAAATTGCAGAAACAGTACTATCATGCTCACCTTTTAGATGTCGCTGATAATGCAATGTCCTTTTCTTGAGAATTTAGTTCCTCTTTCAGTTGAAGGGGTCTCATCATATTTCCTCTAAATTTCCTATGAAGCTTCTCTGATTCCATTTGCAAGCTCACATTCAACCTCTGTATCCTGTTCATATTACCTATATGTACATGTTTGGCTAGTGTTTTTACCAGTATTAAATATATGCTGCATTGTCCATTGTCCCTCTTACTGCTAATCTTCCACCTTTTGATCAGTAGAGATATGTTACTCTTAGCCTGTCGCTTGGGAGCATTAGCTCTTTTTTCTTTCTTAGATCCCTGTCCAGCTTCCTACTTCCTTGCTTTTCTAAAAAGAGTGTGTGTGTATATATATATATATATATAAAATAACATCTAACATACAGCCATTTTTTCTGGATTTATACAGCTAAAAGGCTCTTTGGGGCTTTTATGTTATGCAGCTCAATTTAAGAAAAATCTTTTGCACTGTTGCTTTGTCTTGTTTAGGTTCATTCAAAATACCATTGTGAATGTGATTCTTAAGGCCTGTTATTTTGGTTGTGTCACAGTTCTGGGTATATTGTATTATTTTTCATGCACTCCAAGTTCTGTGATGATTTTGCCCTGTGACAGAACTGCATGTCAGGCAAAAAGGAGATTTTTGTCCACAAGACCCTAACAGTTGCAGTGCATGGCCATAGAAGATAAATTTTAGGGAAAAATCCATTAAAATGGACAGGAACTCATGTTGCACAAAATCCCCCAGAGTGAACATAACGAAAGAGAGAAGCTTGGCTTTCTGTGTTTCGTATAGAAAATGCACTTAAGGAAATCCTCAGCCAAAACAGGGAGTGCTTCCCTTGCATTTTACGGCTGCCCTGAATCCTGCACTTCTTTTAGGGTTTTATTTTTCCTTTCTCCATCTTGTCGAAATTGAAAAATGGAAAGTAAAATTAAGAGAGCCTGAGTGGTTGCCTTCTGCTGTGACATCTCTTGAAAAGGGCTGAGGTAGTTGTTTTGACTGTTAAGAAGGAAAAAAAGAACTGGAACAAAAGTCCAACTGAAATGTATACAGCTGGAAACAGGAGTTCAGCATTCCTTGTTTTGTGGCAGAATTATAACAACACTGCTGCATCCAAAATTGATTTCTTGTAAAATATGACAGAGGACTTTAATCTGATGGTTACAAGTAGCTGCTGTCAACAAGTTTCTCAATAAAAGCTATTTTTCGTAATAAATCCTTTCTATATTATTTGGAAATGAAAGCAGTAGTGCTTTGCATTATTATCAAACAGGATAATGACAATAATTCCCACCCATAAAACGGTTCTTTGCTTTCAGTCTTCCATCAGTCCAGAGTAAGTAGTTGGCTTTTCAGCAGTTTTGGTAGATGTAATCGTCCAATGTGTAGAAAATTTATTACCTGCTCTAGGTCCCAGTCCCAAATGTGGTGGAGACTCATTTAAATGCATTCCAGAGAGTGATTAGAAATCCAGCTAGTCCTAAAATGGAACTATCGGTCAATGAATTTTTCATAATTCCCTGTATGATGTACCGTCATGCCACAAGTACACTTAAAACACAATCAGAGAAATAGATTATGAGTGTCCTCTAATGGCAGTATGTATTTTTATTTGTATCTAGCTTCTTAATGATAAACTACAATTTATTCTACAATAATTTAGTCATTGAATAAAATTCTGTGGCCCACAAGTTAGTTTTCTTTTTAATGAAATTGATGTAGTATAAAATAAAGGAATCATAGTATGATTTTGCTAACATCTCTGAAAGTCATTCATTTAAACCAAAATGAAACTGAATCAGCTAATATGTTTTATAGCTGGATCATGTATTCTAGGAACCATGCTACTCCATAATGCTCTGTACAGCATCATTCATGGAGAGCTCCCAGTTACTTTCCCATGTCCTCATCAGGTTTGTTAGTCAAGATAGTAACATGTCTTATGAGTTTGTCTGAAGTGTATGTAGTGACTACATAGCCAGCAAGGTTGTCCTGGTTGGTCTGATACCTGATGTTTGTTGGAGTGAGTATTGTGTGGAATTACAATGAACTTTTTTTCCTGAGGACATGGAGAGTCTTTGCTCTCTGTTAGCTTCCTTCAGATACCCTGAGATAATCCTTTCATCTACTAAACCCTTTGCTAAATTGTGAGGGCCTTGGCTGAGAGATTCAAAATTTGATGTAACTGGGATGGAGATCAGTGAAGGATAGCTCTGATGAGCATTTCCTTTTATTTTGGAAAGTAGAGTTAAAATAATGCTCTGACTTAACTAGTAAGATTGTACGCACGCATAAATATAAAATTTAATTTGTATGATATAATATGTATAATATAAAAAAAGTAGATGGGCTGTTCTGGGTTGTATTCTTATATAAGTTTAGGAAAAAAATATACGTCATATGCATAAAAAAAAAAACCTCTTCACACTGGTGATTATACTGTTCTCAGTGAAAACTGGTTTCCTGCAAAATGAAATGGATCCTTCTAAGGTGGTCTGCATCTGAGGAATGGCGAAAAAAGAGAAAAAGTCTTTAAAAGACCACTGTTGCTGCTTTTCAGTTTTATCCAGGTTGCCCTAAAAATTCTTAAATGGAAGAAATAAACTCAGTACAAGCTATGGTTGTGTGTGTCACATGTTTGATAATGCCTGCTGTGCCAACAAATTATAAGTCTTGATTGCTGTAAGATACAGAGTAGTTTCAGTATGGCAGAGAGAAAGTGCTGTGAAAATACTGAACAGAGTTCATAAATGTAGTTTGAACAGGACATGCACCACATTTTGAACAAAGTCCTTTAATCTGCATTTTCATGCTCATTCTGTTTAATGTGACTATTAGCCTCTGTGTAGATTTTGGTGCTGCTTGTCAAAGTCCTCTGGTGTTTGAGTCCACAAAGCTTTCTGGTACTTAGGAGTCAATAAACCTCCCTGTTGTATAAAAAACATTTTTCAGTAAGGAGAATTTGGTGACTGTAGAGCCACACTTGTAGTTTGGTGTTGTTGTTAAATAAACATACTCTTAGCTTAAAATAGAAAGAAAACTTCTGAGTTTGTTTAGGGGAATTGCAAATGGAATTCATGCATCTTTTTGGTAACTTACTTTTTTCCTGATTTGTAAGAAGAATACATTTAAGTGCAGTTAAATATCATGGCGCACTTCTGAAGAGATGTGTGAAATAAGTGGATCATTCAATGCCCAGCATGCAAACAAAATTAGTCTTTGTCACCCTCAGTCATTAATAAGATTTTTTTTTTCTGTTTATTTCATCAATATTGCAAAAATAAACATCAGGTCCCAGCACAGAGATTTTTTATTATAAGAAAATTAATTGACATAAAATATTACTTGAGTCTGATGAAAAGGAATATAAATGTTATTGATGGGTAAATGGGCACATAGTTTAGGAATATTTCAGGGAATAATAAAATCCATATTGCTGTTTTTACTATTTGACTGGGTTTTGTGCTCTTTTGCCCAGCACATTGCATATTAAAGCACATTGCAGAATTCTACTGCCAGATAAATAGATTTCTATTGCTAAGACAATGTTTAACCTGTATCCTGTTAAGTAAACTGAGTCATTTTCAAGCACTGGTATATTCAGTTTTTGTTCCTCATTCTGAAGTCCTGGAATAAACTGAAGCTACTTTTATTATATTATCAGATTTTCGGTTTCTTCAGTCAGAGGTGTCCAAAACCTGGAAGCAACTTTTGTTTGTAACACTCGCAAACAGTGTAGTCTTGTCTCCATTATCAGTTGCTTATGGATAACCTATAGCTAATTAGAATGAGTTTATTCATGTGTGATCTCTCTGCTTCAGGTTTAATTACTTTGCAGAATCTCATTAAAATATCTTTCCTGTTTCTGATTGTGATTTGCAAGCAATAAACTCAGTTTGTCAGTGTTAAAATACATTTTTGTATTTTTTGAAAGATTCTTTGATACTAACTTGGAGAGTTGATGATAAATCAGAGGTTAAGTTATATGCAGGCTTTGGGTTAAGTGAAGTTATGAGTACCTGGAGTTTATGTTGACATGTGCTGAACTAGTGGTGCTTAAGGGCTGTTTCAATGTTCCAGTTAGATCTCTCTACTTACAGAGTTTAAAATCCAGATGGTGCCTGCACCTATGATTTACAGTAATGCCAGAAAGCAGATGGATCCTATAATTTGCACTGATTGCTACTAGTATTTACAAGTAGTCTGTTGTTAGAGAAGAACATGTTAATGAAAGGGAAAAAAAACAAGCATATATTAAGCAAGGGTAATGTACCTGTATATTTTTGTTTTACTATGCGGACTTTTTTTTTAAATCAGTGTCCTTTTAAAATAAGAAGTATTTTAGGAGAGAGTGAACTGAGAATTATGTCCTGTACTTTTAGTATACAAAAGAATTTCAGTTCTCTTTGTAGTTAGCAATAGTGATACTTAAAATAGTTACACAAAATATTGAAGAAATTACAGAATTTGTAAATGAGTTAGCTTTATCCCACTGAAGTTTGCACTTCTCCAATAATTCAGTGGTCATATCAATTTGCTAGGTTTCACTGGAGATACTGTTTTTTCTCCTAGGACAAGAAAGACAAAGTCTCAAGATTTGATACTATACGTCATTCCATAGCTGGAATTATAAGGTCTCCAAAATCCATGCTGGGCTCATCCTCGGTAAGTAGCATCAATAATGTACTTGTTATAGTACACTGTGTTATTTTTACAGTTTAAGTGGGATTTTTTTTTTTCCTCAAACATCATGAATTTCCACCTATATGGACAAAAATTACATTAAAATGTTATAAAAACAGTGTTCTGATTATAATATTGTGGCATATTAGTACGTGAGAACAACTTACTGCATTTAATAAAAAAAAAAAGAGAGAATTACATGTTTTTTATAGCTCTAAGACTGGTGATATACTTTCAAGAGTACCCTTCCCAGGGAGTCTGAATTACTGGAAATGCAGCATGTTGTCATAGCCTGTAGTAGGTCATGCATGTGTTAAATTGTTGCAATAATTATATTCCCCATATTTATTATAAAGGCACCAGTATATCAGCATGTTATTGCTACTACTTCTACTTCTTCAATAGCTTTTACTATTTAAATAATTCGGCATTATGCATCTTTCTTCAATCCCCACTAAAGGTGCTTGTTGAGTATCTCTTCTAGTTGGCTTTTGTTCAGGTTCCCTAATGGATGGAGAAACATTCTTGTTTCATTTGCTTTTGTATTGACTGTTTTCAAGAAGCTTGCAAGATTGATTAAAATACTGGAGCACCTCCTTAGGGAGGTGACAGATTATTTTTTTTTTTTCCTGAAGTGGAACATCTTAACCCTTCCCCCTACCAAGAAAAAAAAAAAAAAAAAAAGCATTTTTGAGAAAATGTTAGAATGAATGAATTTTCTGGTTTATGCTGCAGCACTGAATCCAGGGACCCATTAAAGGATCCAGTAAACTTTATTTAAGCTAAACACTTCAGAATGTGTGGAAGAAATTACAGTTGCATATATGCATACAAACATGTATGTACATATATGTGTATTTGTATGCATAGGAAAATTGCAGTCATAAAGGAATGGAATGGAATAATGAAATAATAAATATGATAATGAAATAAAATCAGTACAGGAAGACTCTTCCTATGAGAAGTGTGAAAGTTGCATGACATATGCAATTATTTTTTAAAATATTGAAGTGTCCTTGGAGATACATAAAATCTCAACAGTATCCTAATCTTTGCTTTATAAAACTTCTAGTTGACATAAATGTGCAACATTTCGTAATAAAAACATAGTAAAATGTATATTGCTGTGGTCTCTGTTCTTTGTGTAGGCCTAGAACTTTGTCTATTTGTATGTGTTGTACAATTTGTTTAGATTTTTAAATTTTTTTTTAATATTTAAAAATACTACCCAAAACTGCTTCAGAGAAAAATTGGAAGAGAAAAAATTGCAAGAAGAGTCAAGATAAAACACTTCGGATTAAATCGGGGAAGTTGATGGAAAAATCTTCATTGGCTTTAAAGTGTCATTTTAAAGAACTTACGTGACTCATTTTGATATTCATTCCAATCTGTGTCACTGTTAATTCCATGAAAGTTGTGTATATACATGGTGGGTAGGATTGCTGAAACCCTGGAATATGTTTGGGAGAAGTAAGATCTGAATTGGATCATTTGAGGCAGAAAGTAAAATCTGAATAACAACTGTACTCTTGATTACTTATCACTTAAATGCATTTCAGAGTCAGAATATATAAACTAACCAATTTTCAGTTTTGCCGTGTTTTGATTCAGCAATTTGTCGTGTGTTAAAAAAACCTAACCATGCATATACAGCTAAAATTTACTTTGCAAATTAGTACTTAGCTCCTAACGTGGTCAGCTGCTAGGCTTTTTCATGGTGACGGTTACATCACTGTGCTTATTGCTAAATGTGTAAGCTGGTACTTAAAACTTATTACCCATCAACAAAGTATCCAAAGTGATTATTGAAGGTGTGATATAAAATAATTTTAACACATGTAAAAGAATTTATTTATTTTTTAATAGATTAAGACCAAAAAGGATCTTGAAGCAGAGTAGGAAAAAGTGTGATGTGAACTAGCTGTTTTCATATTATGTGTTTTAAGTGTATTGAAACTTTCAGAAGTAGAGCCATATCTTGGTTTAAATACAGTGCTATTCTAAAACACCATCCCATATTTAATTGGTGGGAGAAGTTGGATTTTACGTGTAATTAGAGGAAACAGGGTTTTTTTTCATATTCATAGAGAAACCGCACTTCCAAAAGCAGCCAGGAGTTCACCTGTTACTTAAATTATTTTTGTGCTGTCAGAATGTGAAGATAAAGGGTAATATAGGGAAACAGTATAGTTTGAAGAGCAAGGTTAGTAATTCATGTGCTTCTTGTGGGGAAGATTCTAGCCAGTTTTCTGTAATAGGAAGAGACACAAGTTTAATGAAATGAGTGAAAACAAGAAAAGGGGCAACTTTCATGTACATGTAGGAGTGCAGTGCTATGAAGGAACTGTATGAAGAGTTGGAATGAATAGCATCATGAATACCAGTGTCTGCCCCACTGCCTATGTTTTTTTGCCACTGCGGCCTTTGAGCTTAGCACAGACATCTATTATTATTTATAACTTTTTTGTTGTTTTTTTTAGGCTAATAGGTGCAATTAATGTTGGTTTCATATGGTATGTTAGCATGTATGAATGAGCCAGGTATATGGAGGCAAAAGGTAGGATATTCCATCGGGAGTTATCTCTACACCTGGGTTAGAGCAATCCTAGGCACAGCTGCAGGTTGGGCAGAGAAGAGATTCAGAGCAGCCCTGTGGAGAAGGACTTGGGGGTGCTGGTTGATGAGAAAATGAACATGAGCCGGCTTCAGTGTGCACTCGCAGCCCAGAAAGCCAACTGTCCTGGGCTGCATCAAAAGGAGCGTGACCAGCAGGTCAAAGGAATAAGTAAAGAGGACAGTACTAGCATGAGGAAGTATATGATGGCATTTTCCTCCACTCAGAAGGGATGTTTCATCAGGGCAGAGCAGTAGGAGAGGTTAATTCAGAACTGTATGCTTTCTTTGTATCTGTTTGTGCATAATTGAGGTGTGGGTCTTCCTACTGTTATCTAAAACGCAGCTCAGCAGGCTTGCCTGGGACACATTCGCATGCCTGTTCAACTCATGAAACAGAATGCACTGTTATTTTGTTCAGTTTTACTACTCTGGTGGTGAGAATTTCTATGAGTGCTGGCACTATTGATTTGACTGACATAGAGCTTAAGTAAGGGCTTTTCTGTATAGCCGTAACAAATAAATCTGAAGTGTTCGCTGACCAAAATACTAAGTGTTTCTCAGTTTCCTAAACAATGTAAGCATGTTAGAATTAATATTTTAAATTGGTAGTTAAAACTCATTAACTCCCATTTATAGCCAGTACACTCAGGTGCATATTCTGTGTTACAGTGTAAATGCTAGGAAAAATATCTCATAGAGCTATTAACTGATTTGGGATGCAGTTGGTAAATAAATTGGTGAAAACAATTTATCTAATTCAAATGCTTTGTATAAACCAATTTCTTATGTTTTTATATTTGAGAAGTTTCTGTCTTTAAAAAGAAATGGTTCATTTTGAATTATTAATAACACTTGAGATGTTTGAGAAAGAGTTGGTTAGCATGACTCTGGAAAAATGGAAGGCAAATGAAAAATATTAAATAGTTTTATGGCTGTTTCCATAATCTTTTGCTTTTTATATGTTATTTTTTTAGGTGATAAAAACGTGATCACTGTGTCATTTTTGTAAATGTAAGAGCCTTGATTTTGTTTGTTGACAGAAATACATAATTTAGATACAGAAATAGAAATCGTTGTTTATCATGCTTTTCATGTAAAAGTAAACTAAAACTAAGCTATCAAAGTAACATTTTTTTCAATATTTTTCCAAAGTTCTTTGATGTAATTTCAACCACTGAGAAACCACTGGCTGAGCAAGACTGGTATCATGGCGCAATTCCAAGAATAGAAGCCCAGGAGCTGTTAAAACAGCAAGGAGACTTCTTGGTGCGAGAGAGCCACGGGAAACCTGGTGAATATGTCCTTTCTGTGTTTTCAGATGGACAACGGAGACACTTTATCATACAATATGCTGATGTACGTCTCTGACATAGTACTGGATATTTTAAATGTTAGGAAATATATAGTTTCAGCTAACCAGTGTAACCTATGCATAATTTACTATGGCAAATGGCTTTAGCCTTTATATGAAAATATGAAAGCCCTTGGAAATATTTCCATCAATGCTGAAATCAAGGGAGAGGAAAGATAATTTTGGGAAATAAGTTAAAATTACAAAATATGAGGTTATCCAACATCTTTTATGTTACTTTGAAAAGTCAAGATATTTCTGTAAATGTTTTGAAATCCAGAATTTGTTATTACTAGTTTATGCATGTACGTTTATTTTTAAACCCATTTTCATAATTGGTACTTATTAGGCTACTTTTAATTCAGACTGTAAAGATTCCATTGAAAATTGCAAACATGCACAGAGGAGAAAGTAATCTGTGTTGATTTCTGTGTGGCTGGGAATTTAAACTGTTACATTAGAGACGCTTCTGTTCTTTTTAGCCCTACGGATATTGTTCAGTATAACAAAAACTTGTGGTAGTTGCACAGCTCATATGCTTCTAAGGACCAGAATTTATTTCCTTTTTGCTCTAACTTAGGAAAAATTGTCCATTTTAAACAGTATTTTAATTCTTATATGCCTTTTTGCAGTGTATTTCTTCTTACTCTTCTTAATGCATTATTTGTGTTTTTTAATGTATTATTTGCTTTACTTTACAGAATTTCAAACTTATTCAAAATATGACAGTTCTTATAACATTACTAGAAGTTCTTGAAGTATGACATATCAGCAAATCATTCTCAGTTTTGATTCAGTAATGCTGCCAAAACATATTTCAGTCTCTTACAATAAAATCTCCCACATACAGGAAAAAAACCCACAAATTTAATCATATAATGAGATTTACAAAGGGGGATTTACTTGTCAAAATCCCCAGCTGATGCAGCATGCCTGTATGAAGTCAATATTGTGTATTTGTTTGTTTTTTTTAATGAGAGGCAGTGATATTTTTAAAATTTGCAGAAGTTGGGAGGCTTTGCTTACAGAAGCAAATCATTATGGGCCCTAATCCCAACCCTAACCCTAACCTGGTGCAGCTGGAGTTTTAATTAATTTTCACCTAGAGTTTTCCTTATAGAAGTGAACCTTTACACAAAGTCAGGGTTGATTTTATTTTAATTTTATATCCTGAAAGCATTTTGACATGGCAGGATGAGGAATGAGAAAATAGGAGCAATTAAATTACCTGTACCTAGACACACAGTCTTACAAGGTGCTCGGATCTCTCTGATCCAGACACCGCAGAAATAAATGCACATTATATACTTGGCTGGAACAGGTTTGTGTAAAATACGCAACAAGTAGATCTTCATAGAAATGTAGATTGGACTTCCTAGTCAGTTAAAATAGAGTATTTTGCTTAATAAGTATTACTTTGAGGCTTGCCTGTAAGATGACTCATTTTATATTAGAATTTTCCACCAAAAAAAAAGCTGCCTTTATTTCCATAATTTCACTACTTTCTCTTAGGAATGACATTTGAAATGTAAGACTGGTGCTGTTTAATATTGCATAGCTTGGATGGTCTAAACATCATCAGGTCACTCAATTTTTCTGCTTTTAAGTTTAGTAATAGAGCATTATGTTCATCTGTTTGTGGGATGCAGTTGTGTCAGATTTCCTTGACAATCATAGAAGTTAAAGCCTTTTTCTTAAAGAAATGCAGGACTCCTTATGTACTCCTATTTGATTAATTTTGTGCATTTATTGTGGTGGAAAAAAAAAAGAGCATTAATTGTAGAAAGAATAAAGCTTATTAGGCTCTGAAAAGTGTTTAGATGGTGGGATTGTTATGATCACATAACAAGCGGAATTGTATTCATGAGCATTTTGGTAGGGAAGTTTGAGGAGAGCTTAGTGCAAGAGATTTGTTTGTTAGCATTGGTATGCTGTGTGGAATCAGGTCTCTGTGACCAGTCAAATCACCCCCTTGGATCACTGAGTAGTCCCCATATGGAGACCAAACTTGTACTCTATCATTTTGAAGTTTAATGTTAATACAACTATGTGTGTGATAAATGACTTTAGCGTTCAGCTTTAAGCACCAAAATTCACTGTTGTCATTCAAGGCAGCTGTTGTTTCTTGAGTCTGTGCTATATCAAAATGTTAGTTATCTTAGTAAGACATTCAGGAGAATGAAATAAATACTTCTTTGCTATTTTTTTCCCCATCAAGAGTGTGGGCAAAGATAAACAATGCCAATTTCAATTTTTCTCCTTAAAACCTGAAAAAATTATGTCATAGCATTTATTCATAGCTAAGAAAATGTTACATGCTTCTAAGAAACTAGTAAGGATTTAATTGTTTCCATTGTGTTTAATTACATATATATAAAAATAAATAAATTTATGAAGCAAGGGAGGGAATTCTGTCTTGCCCAACTTCTCTGTAAATTCTGTGCATAACCTGCTCTTTTTTTTTTTTGGCTGCTGTAGACTCTTTTGGTCTATACTGCTTATTAAAGACCAATGCATCTTGTCCTCTGTGCTAGGGATTTATTAATTTTATCAAACATTGTAAATGCAGTAAGATCCAAGTTAGATAGTGTTACTCATCTCCTGTTTATTTTATTGCCAGATGTTTAGTTTTTAGTTTGTTATCTGTAATTCTTAGAACTTCAAGTAATTAGGAAGTTGGTTTTTTTTTTCTGTAGTTTAGAACATTTTTTTTTCACTCTGTCCTAAATATTTAAATTATGAATTTAAATAAATTGTTGTTTTATCACATTGCCTTAAATGAGTGATGCAGTAATTTTGCATTTACTAATTTATCATCTTCTTAACTATCATTCCGTTTAATTCAGTAGAAATGCTATTAAGTAGATCAGGAAAAAAACATAGTTTTGTAAAAGCAAATATTTCTTTGTTACTAGTGAGGGAAGCTTGGTCATGCGCTTTTGAAGTTTCTTGTTCAAAATACTGCTTGTAGAGAAACAATTATTTCCTTTTACCTCCATACAGAATCAATATCGTTTTGAAGGAACTGGATTTCCAACTATTCCTCAGCTCATAGAACATCATTACACAACAAAGCAAGTTATTACAAAGAAATCAGGTGTTGTTCTGCTGAATCCTGTTGTTAAGGTAATGCATACATTCCAAGAACTCTGTTTAACTGAAAAGAATTTGGAGAGGATGTTTGTATTGTTATTTAAATTATGTTTCTGTGCAACTTCTCAGAAGATATTTCAATTCTTGCTCATTTTGTGACTGAGCTTTTCAACCTTCTCTCCTCCATTCAACATATTTTTTTAAAATAATGCTCCATCCTGATTTCTATAGTAAATCTTTACTATCTTGAAAGAGTGGCATTCAGCATCTGACAAAATAGCCTCCTACTTTTGTTTTTTCTTTTCCATTTGGATTTAATTTCCAAGTAATTGAAAGTAGTAGTTCATTGCCCATAAAGTTGTGATGAAGAAATTTTTTTGATAAAATGGAGTTCTTTAACTGGTAAAGTTCTCATGAAATTTGGAAGTTACGGCAACTCTTTTGTCTCTATTTTATGAGTCAGAAATAAGGTATACAGACACAGAGAAAGGTCCAGCATCACTGCAAGTTTGAAATAAAAAGTCCCTCTTTAATCAGTAAGCTATTGCAGAAAGTCTTTCAGAAGGGAAATGAAAGGGATGAAAATATTAAAGTATATCACTGTTTAGAAAGCTTAAGAGACCCCTTGGCTTCCTTCAGTAGTTTTGCAGTTAATATCTACTTAATTGATGTTTTATTCATAAGCAAACTCTTTTCCACTTAAATCTTTGCATTTTAACTACGAGTAAGCCATTTGTTCTTGATTTTTTTTCTTAAGACTGGTTTCAAGCATGTGTAAAGCACCTTCTGTGTTTACAGAATTTCAGGAAGCATAACAATTTACATTTCAGAGTTAGTTTCCTACCCCAATATTCTAGTCAATTTTCCCTAATAATCCTAAAAAATTAAAGCATATTCCATTCTCAAAATTGTGGGGTTTTTTAACACTTATCTATGCTTACCAAATTACATGATTTTAAAATTTAAAGAATGGGGCTTTGTAAATATACATTTTTGGCTAATGTCTTGGTGATTACCAACTTGGCACCTTATTGAACATAAAATATTTCTTAAATTCATTGTGGAACGTATGAGAAAATGTCAGACGTTATTTTTGATGCATGAATAACTTGTATTTTGGTACAAGCTGTTTAAGCTAAAAATAAAGGGCTGTCAAACTGAAAATATCTTTTTGTACCTATTTGCAAATTTTTGTCTTCTATAATACAATACTTCATTTAAATGTTTAAGGACTTTTCTTTTTCCTGTTATTGTGAGAGCAGGCCTATTTTAGCAAATGTAAAAGTGTAGTGCAGTATATTACTACATACTAAATGATATCAGAACTTAGTTATTTTCTATTAAGTTCAAATAGGAAAACATCATCTGGAAAACATCATCTCTTCATTCTCTGTTATTCACTTGGAAGACGAGGAGTCTCAGTATTCCTGACATTTTATTTTTGTTTTGCTATAATTTTTTTTTTATAAAGTCAAGTTTAAATTTATGCACAGTTTTATGTAACTATTGGCAAACAGTTTTTCCAGTACCTATACTATGAAGAAATATGGTCCCAAATCAATTTTATGATCATTTCTCCATGACTGTACTTGATCTCATGGCCTTTGAGATATAAATGTATAAACAGATCATGTGAATACCTCAGTGATAACCATGCAGACATGTATGACTGTGTGGTTGGTCTTTCCAGGGCTTGAACCCATACCACTACATTGTGTCATAATCTTCTTACAAAGGGATGGAGAACAACTTTTAAGACAGGGTTTTTACTGTCACAGTTTTTAGTTATGGTTTGTTTGGGTTTTTGTAGGTTTATTTTTTGTTGGTTTTGTGTATGTGTGTGTGATTTTGGTTTTTTTTTTAATTTTTTTTTTTTTTTAATGGGGGAAAATGAAATGGGAATTCTCCTCTCTATAGTTGTTGAGTTAGTCTTAACTAAAATTAGTGGAAATACTAGTATTTCCTCTAGAATCATGCTAGTTTTATGACCAGTTGGTAGTAGATTTGAGCTGCACTGAAAGTACTTTTGGCTACTCAGGTTTCCTGAAGTGCTGAAAGTAATCCATAAAATCCAGTCACATAGGCTCCATTTATTTTTTTCATATGACTTGTATAGTGCTGGTTTGCGTCAGTCTTAATATGCAGAAGTATTTCCATTAGGGTTAATGAACATTTCAGTTTTCTTTCTGATAGGTTATACAAAGTAATGGAGAGGATGTCCCTGGTAATACTGACTGCTACTGTTGAGAAGAGTTTTGTCTATTGATCTTCAAGAAAGAATGCTCAAAGAAAAGCTGTGGAGTCAATCTGTCACTTCTGCAATTTATACACAGATTTGCTTTTGCAAATCTCAGTTCTACCCTCTAGATTTACGGTGACTTAGAATTTGGTTTAGCAGAAAGGTTGAACTACACAGTGTTTTTTTATGGAACAATAACAGGTCAGATGAAATAGTGCTTTTTTCCAAGGAGGTAAACCTATTTGCCTTATTATTCTGTTTTACAGCTCACATTGAGTTTCATCAGTGTGGCTTAATACAGTGCTGATAATAATGCAGAACAGCTTCTATAACAATGTTTACAGCTCATGAATCTTTATTCTGAAACAGTTTTAAAGAAGTTGTCCACAGGGTTTTTTTTAAATCCACTTTTGTAAAACTCACTTGTTCTTATAAAAAATCTTTTCCACTAGCTACCTTTATTTCTGTACTTACTCTGAAGGACTTGAAACACATAGCTTATGATTCATGAAATTGATATACTGTCCTGGGTTCAGCAGTAGCAGTCATTTTTCTCCTTCTTGGTAGCTGGTGCAGTGCAGTGTTTTGACTTTTGGCCTGGGAACAGAGCTGATAACAATGATGTTTTGGTTTGGCCAAGGGCTTTGTGAGCCTCATGGTCTGCCAAGGAGGAGGGAAAACCCGGAGGAAGAAGAGACAGGACACCTGACCCAAACTAGCCAAAGAGGTATTCCATACCACAGCACGTCATGCCCAGGATGTAACTGAGAGTTACCTGGAAGGGCTGGGACTGCAGGGATGGAGGAGGCATTGGTCAGAGCTTGGTCGGGTTGGGGGGGGGGGGGCGAGTTATCGGTCAGCTGGTGGTGAGGTGTTGTATTCTCTTCCCTTGTTATTTCCTTTATCATTGTTATTACTGGTGGTAGCAGCAGTGATTTGTGTTATACCTTAGTTACTAAACTGTTCTTATCTCAACCCGTGGGAGTTGCATTCTTTTCGGTTCTCCTCTCTGTCCGTCCGGGAGTAGGGGGAGGGAAAGAAGGGGGAGAGCGAGTGAACGAGTTGCCTGACTGGGTTTAAACCACAACATATGCACATTAGATATACTGGCATAAGTGATGTCAAAAATAGTACTTCTCTAAGAAAATAATTTCTCATTTCAACATTTTTAGGCCTTATCCACATGTACACAACTGTTACTCACTTTCTTTTTTTCCTCTGGTTCATCAAGTTCTGTTAAGTGGTATATAAATGTGATAAAAAATTATCTATGATTATTTTCTTATCCGTTAAAGAGTCTTTAATTATCGTTAATACTGAAAATGAAATATTGACTTTTACTTTCTGTTTTTCTTGTAGAAAAATGTCTCTTAGCTTCAGTAATTCATAGTATTGATATTTTCTGTGTCATTTGGAAGAAGGAGAGCAAATATTGCTTTCCAGATATTTTTCTGAATGCATTTTTTCTGTGTACAGCATCGAAAAATGAGCATAATGGATGCTTATGCACTGTACTTGTGAGAGGCTGACACTAATTTTTTTTTTTTTTTAGAGTAATATTAATGTTTAATTGACTGGGGTGAGGGAAAAGGGAGGGATATTTAGGCTTTTGCTAAATTCTCCATGCTGTGTTCAGGTGGATTCTTAGGCTAGGAAGTCTTATGTTTTCAGTTCTTTTAAAGCAATATGTTTTCCTTTTGCTTCAGCCATTTTGGGATTCTCCAAGTCAGCTAAGGTTTCCACTTTCTAGAGGTCTTTAGCCTTTTTTGCTTTTATTGCTCCTACTGTCAAGATTAAAAGTGGTGGCAGAATTTGCTGTAGGTAATGCCTTCATTAGCATGATGTCATCCAGCTTTATTATTTTAATGTGGTCTGAAGTAGCTGGAATAAATAATGTGACAGAGAGCATGAAATAAGTAAATGAAGTGATGGTAACATTGAGTTCTTATTGTGATGGAACCTTATCAGGATTTGCTCACTCTTCCTCTTTCACAAATCTTGCTTTGGCTTCTGGGTAAGAATCTTGGTTTTGTTTGATGACACTCTGAAACTGAATGTAAGCACAGGTGGCATTTTCTTTTTATCCCTTTTTCTCTCTCCTATTAAAAATGGTAAGATTTTAAAGACAAATGTTTAAGCTGAGGCTGATAAATTCATATCTAATTTCCTAAATGTCTGTTTTAAAGATGCTTAGTATGTAATTGTGTTAATGCTCATTGTTAATTTGAAAAAATACCATTTTAGAGTACTTCATGATTGAAATTGTTACCAAAAATTATAGAAAAATAGTGCTAGGGGAATGTGAACACTAAGTATTTCTTCTGGGTTATGTTTTTCATCTCATTGAAAGCTGTTACAATTTACTGCAATTAATTTATAAGACTGCTTCCTGGCATAATAATTTGTGATTTCTTTGATGTGTTTTCTACTAGTGAAAGCAGATAGGCAGGAGGAAAACTACACTTCAGACTTGAGCTTACCTGGAAGAAATTCAGGGCAATACTGATAATGTTTTAGTCTCATAGCTCAGAAGAATTAAAATGAGGTTATGTCTTGTACAGCCACCATCCGCTGTTCATACCTTGGCCTCAGTGGCCTTGAACACAACTCTTAATACCTGCGTCTTCACTGAAGAAAGGACCGACTGATTCCCTACTGACTGCTCAGGTCTTGAAACTCACCGTAGTCCAGGGAACCATGAGGCTTAATAACTAGCATCTTATATTCAGAGAACTTTATTTTACAAGTAAAAAGAGAAATATCTGATTATTTTTGAAGTATTTCTTTCACAGTT